CGTTTTCTCAAAATCAGATAAAAATTGCCGTACAGGAGGATAAAATCGTATTTTCCTCAAGAATGCTATTTGATTTTAATTAAAACTCTGAAAAGTCAACAAGAGTCAATTTATCAATGCTAATTGAATTAGGAATGAAAAGAACCTTCTAGAAGAATCTAGAAGACTAAAACCATTCCTAATTACATTAGGAATGATAAATCATATTAGGCCCTCCTCTAGATCATTGGGCCGTATATAAAGCTTAAGCCGGACCCAGTTTGGTAAATTGGCCATAACTTCCTCAATATTCATCGGAATTGGGCTTATAATATATCTTTGGAAAGGTCTTTGCAAGCCCCATCCAACTACACTACTATTGGACCCATATCATGGACCAACCAAACTGGATTGGCTGTTTTTTTAAAATAAGTTTTCAAAAATAGAGAGAAGAGAAAAGAAATTAAAACTATCCGCAACACTAAACTTTCCACACTTTCGCTTCATTCGATTATGATTCGACGTGAAAGGTACTTATCACTGGGTTTGGTTTTGGGGAGACACAAATGGGTGTCTACACAACTGGACAAGAAATAATTGAGTGAACATCTTGTAGAGAGCTCTCATTGTCAGTAACATGATGAGATGCACCAGTGTCAATAATCCACGATAAAGATAAGTAATCATCATTAGTAGAAGCAGTAGGAAGATCGAACAAACCACCCAAAATAGGGGTAGTGGCGGAAATAGGAGGCAACGACAGAGTAGAAGAGGCAGCAACAATGGACTTTGGTAGAGTAGTAGCGGATTGAGAAGAACGTCCATATTTGTCAAGCCACCATTCGGGTAGCCCGTGGACAAGAAAACAAGTATCATAATTGTGACCCGTACGATTACAATGAGAACAATATAACTTTGACTTATTGCGATGCTTCGACAGAAAATTACCAGTAGTCATAGTATGATGTTGATCAAATACAATAGAGGAAGAAACAATAGTGTCATTCGCCATTGTTAACAAGTAATAGAAAGTAGTAATATCAGAGAAAGAATATGAAATAGCCCACAAATTGCACTACACCAATGCAGCAATAATTCACGCAACACCAATGCAGAGTAGTAGAACAAGAATTCACGCAATCCCAAGGCCACCACACACAAATCGCACAACAATTATCACAAAGCAGATTTAGGGATAAACCCCTAAATTCAAAAATCGAGAAATAAAATTTAGAATTGTAGATGAACAAACCAAATCCGAAATAAAATTCGAATTGTAGGATTTAGAATGATAGAAAAAAAAATAGAATTTTAGGGTTTAGAATTTTAGGGGCTCCGATACCATGTCGGGAATTGATTTTCCTTAGTTGTATTATTGTATGAACATGTATATATATATATATACAACCTAACGAGAGATTAGGGCCGATAACATTTGGCCCATTAGCTATACAATACTAGGCTTAACATTTATGTTCCTTTAGCTTTCTTAGTTTTTATTTTCGCAAAAAGTTTGACTAATTTGTCACACTACAATTCAACCCCTCCTTCTTGTAGTATTCATTGAAACTACACTAAAATTGACACAAAATTACTAACACAAAATTCGCTTGAGTTGGTTTTGTATTGATATGAAATTTTGTTGTGTCGTATGATACGTCAATTTATAATGGTAGGTATCATTATTTAATTATAAGGAAATTTTGCAAACAACTACCATTTAAATGACCACTTTTGAGAACAACTACCATTTATAATTTTCTTTTGAAAAAACTACCACAAAAACACAAAAAGTTTGAGTAGCACTACCACATTTATTCTTTCTGGCAAGAATCTCCGTTTTGGGGGCATATTTTATAAAATTTCCCTTTAAAAACTCATATTAAATGACTGCATTAACCCTTAATTGGATTATACACTTCAATTGCCCCAAATCCCCAAATTTAGTAAAGCCCTAAATTCAAATTTTTTTACCATAAATCCTAATTTTAAGATTTAATTGAGAAATTAAATAAACTATAATGCAAAATTAATGATGATTGACCTATAATTGTGTTCTACTATCGAAATCTCTTGTTTTCTATACCACAATTGATTGAAATTTTATAAACTAAGCTATCTCTACCAGAAATTCTTGCTGGAAAATTAAACGTGGTAGTGCTACTCAAAGTTTTTGTGACTTTGCGATAGTTTTCTTTAAAAGAAAATTTTAAATGGTAGTTGTTCTCAAAATGGGTCATTTAAATGGTAGTTGTTCGTAAAATTTCCTAATTATAATTAAGGAATAATTTTTATTTCTTATCCTAATTACTATCAAAATTTACTTTATTATAGTAGGTATCAAATTTTAATGTAGTCGTTTATCATTTAAATGTAATATTATTTCTAATATAATTTTTTTTAATCTAATATTATCTTTTTTGAGATTTATCTTTTCATATATTTGTTTGGATTTGTTATACTCGTAGTAATGATTTAATAAATTTCTATTTTTCTACTTCCTCCGTTAATGGTTAATTGCAACAAAGGAATATTTTATATCTCACAAATAATACCCCTTTGTTGCAATTAACCATTAACGAAGGAAGTATTATTTTTTTCTTTATTTTTATCATTAATTTATAAAATAATTTAATACGTGGATTTTAATTTACGTGGCATTAAAATTAAAATTTTAGATATAGTAAATCTAATACATTACTTTTACCTAGGTGGCGTTCTAATTTTTTAATTTAAAACTAAAATAAATTTATTTTTCAAAATAATTATATTTCTTAGATGGCACTTTGAATGCTCTCCAAAAATGCCTACCTTATATATATAAATATAAATATGTTAAATTCAATTTATTATAATATAAATATAATTTCGAGTTAATAATAACACAATATTTATTTACAAACAAAACTACAAAAAGTACACTATTATGTAAATATAAGCTATAAGATATCGTATATTTAAATATCGTACATTATCAAAATGAATTACTTGACCATATATAACATTCAAGTAAAAATGTTATCTTATAATTTTATCAACATGAGCATCGCCCGGACACAAAGCGTACACTCCATAAGAAATCTCATATCTTAATATTCTACGTTATTAGGACGAATTATTTGACCGTATTTAACATTCAAGTAAAAATGTTATTAACCTTCTGGGCATAGCCCTATCACAAAACTAGTATATTTATAAAGGGGGTTTTTTCCCGAGTTTTTAGAGAGTCGCGTAGGATTAAATTTTTTTAACGCGCCATGTAAGATAATAAATTTTAGTGACAATCAATCAAATAAGAGATTTGTAAATTCTTTTAGAATTTAATAATTCAAATGCCACATAAGTAAACAAATGAGGTTTTAAAGCTGAAATTAATTAAATATAATATATCTTTTGAATTAGGAATTTTATCCAAACTAGGGATTCTTATGCGTGCAACATGGCTTGTTCTTTGAGAAGAATTATTATAGGTGACCTTTATGCCTTATGCATATTTGCATGGTAATTTTAAGTAATTATTGCAACGAATTGAATAAATTAAACAAGTCGTCATACAATTATATATTTTGTAATTTTTGTACTCCATATATATTAAAATTAATATAGACAACTTTGTATTAAATAGTGTTTACATTCCAAATAGAAAAAAATAAAGACTAAAAGATGCTTCAAATATTTAAATAAACACAAATAATAAATCAATGCAATTTTGGTGATTCAAGTGACAATCTTATGGCTATTGAATTTATTGGGGAAAATATGTAAAAGAAAATATTTAAGGACATTTATGTCCATATACTATTCATAAGAGTTTTCTGAAACTTTTTATAAGGTAGGGATATATTACTCCGTACCAATGGGAGGAATTCAAAATTTATTTTTAAATTAAATTAAAATGTTAAATGATATGGAGTTTATAATGTAAAACGAATAAACTAACAAAATTTATCACATAAATACAAACAATATTTGTTTTAAAAAATACAAAAACGTGCACCGCACGGGCTTTGTCTAGTGAGAAACAAAGACAAGTTCGGTTCTTGAAAATATTACGCCCAAAGATGTAATTGAGAAATTCAATTTGAATTGCATAATAGAGGTGGTAGATTAAGTAAAAGGATAATCGAAACAAAAATTACAATTCAAACATTTTCATGGTTGTAAGAAAATTAGGTCAGTTACAATTCTTGACAATCCCAAAAAAACTCAACCCAAAGATAGCATTTCTTCTTTAAATCTTGAAGTTTACCGACAAAGAGCCTTTAAATTGAAATTGAAATTGAAATTGAAATCAAAATATTGCTTTGATCCTTTTTTCATTTTTAGAGAGGGTGGGAGATGAGAATGACAAAGATTATAAAGTTCTTATATGAAAAAGGAGTTTTCAAAATCCTCAATCACTCCAATCTAATCACCTCACCCACCTAAAAAAAATAATAATAATAAAATAGGAAGATGATGGTGGGTAGGGGTGGCAATATCATCCAAACCCGATAGATAACCATCTACCCAATCCAAATATATGGATGAAAACCCGAACTTAAGCGGATGACGGATGGATGATTGATGGATCGAGTGACGGATCGGGTCGGATACGGATGATGATACATCCAACCCATCACCCGATCCATCACCCGACCCATCCATCCACCCGTTAAATTTATATATAAAAAAATAAAAATAAATACTTTTTTTAATAATTTAATGTCTATTGTAGTGTTAGGAATTTACATTTGTTTTAATTTAGTAAAAAATGAACAAATATTAGAAAGATGTATCAAAGATTTAATAAAATTGATCACTTTTTTTTTCAAATCTTGATTTTAATTATGAAAATAAATTTTTTTATTTATATATTTATTTCACCCAAATTATCACCCGATTCATCAATGGATGACGGATGGATCGGATGTGGATGAAAAAAAATTAGGTGATGGATGGGTCGGGTGATGGATGGATCGTTGGTGGATGGAGGCGGATGAAGCATCATCCGACCCACCTCCGATCCATTGCCATCTCTAATGGTGGGTCTAAGGACGGATGATTCATCTTGTGTCAGAGAAAAGGTATTTGTTAAGTTAGTGATGTAGAAAAATTTTCTAATGGTAGACTAGTGGCTAATGTAGTAAATATGGGGTTATAGGGCGAGACATTTAAGGTATTAGAAAAGAATAAGATTAAATATGTACAAGAAAAATTTCAAACAACTGTATTCTAAAGATTTTCAAATCCACTTTAATCATGCGCTTAAATGAAATAAACTTGTGTGTTCTATTTCATAAATTCAGTATTCAATAAGATGTTAGATAGAATAAACTTATGTGATTTTTTTCCCTACTTTCCAGGATTTTGCTCGATAATCTTTAGAAAATGCCAAATTACGATAATTTTAAATCACAAGATCAAGAAATTTATCACCAATAATGGTAAGATCATTGAAGAAAAACTAGTTTGTCTGCACCATAATACTTATAGATTATCTAAAGTTTGGATATAAGTATGGACATAAATTACACCATTGCAAATCTAGTTAGTTATTCAATTATATTTTAATTAAATAATTTGATTTGATTTAATTTGTGTCTTTTCTGATTTATTCTTTTATGTTTAATAGTTTTTTTAAATTTATTTTTTTGAATGTTGGAATGGGGAAAAGTGACAAATAATACATGAATTTTCTCTATCAAATTGGAATAATATTTGATATATATTTTTGACAAATTGATATTTGTTATGGTAATAGAAAACATAACTACAAATAGATACAATTTTTGGAAAGTTCTACACATGCATTAAGTCACGTTTACATTCGACACTAGAGATGACAATAGATGTTTACATAAAAAAAACATAATATATGTAATTACAATTTACATGAAATAATTGAAAATTAACAAATTATATAAAATCAATCATGTTAATTATTTCCAGTTCACTTGATTTTAAGTTTTGTGCACTCTAATTTATACTACAATAAGAAAGTCTCTAATTTGTATTATTTTTTACCATTCTAAAATCTTAGTTAAGCCTATTACGTATGTTAATTTTTTACGATTCTAGAATGTTAGTTAATGTGCCGTTAATATCGTGTGCAGATAAACACCAATTGTCGTCTTTAATAGTTTTTAATTTTGAGTTAACGAGTATTCTAGTCATAATAAATGTGTACAGTTAATATAATTTTGGATATGTATTTATTCTATTTTCACTAGTAGAAAAATACAAAAAGGCATCCTCATAAAGGCACCGGTTCAAGCCAAACCGGTGTCATAAACCGGCCCAAAATTGGGCGCAATTTTATATAAATAGAAAAGGCACCGGTTCAGCCCAAACCGGTGCCAAAAATAAAAAGGGCACCGGTTTGAACCGGTGCCAATTGAACCGATGCCTTATTTAAAAAAAAAAACGTGCCCTATACTTTCTTCTTCCTTCTCTCTTTCATTCACTGTTTCATTCATTCGAGCCCTAAGCTATACTTTCTTACTGCACTCTCGTTCTCCATTTTCCCAGGCCACCACCATTACGCTGTCGCCGGCCACCAGCCCCACCCTTCTCTTTCTCCCCTCACCGGGTTTCCCCCCTATTCCTTCTCTTTCTCTGTTCAATTTCAAGAGGGTTGTGAAGGTGTAGAAGCCACCACCTGCTCGCCCCGCCGCAGTGTTTCTGCTGCCCCGTGGTCGCCGCGCCGTGCCCTCCTCCACCACCTGTCGTGCCCTCCTCCACCACCGAGGTAATTTCCTCACTATTTCAAGGTTTTTCCTTTTTTTTTTATTTCACAATTATTTTCTAATTATGTACTTATATTATTGTGTTTTGCATGTTGAATCATTGTTTGCAAAATAAAATTTAGGTTTGAATATAATTATACTCTAATTTTTCTCAATTTTAGGTTGTTTTATTGGGAATTTGTGAAAATATTAGTGATTTTTCTCAATTAGTTTGATTTTATTGTGTTTTAATGGTTAATTTAATGTGTTTTGGTGGATAATTTTGAAATAATTATAGAATATATATTAACCTTGATACTTAAATAGGTGAAATTTGGTATGTTACTTGGTTAATTTGAAGTTGTTTTGATGGATTATTTTGAATAAGTTAGAGATTACTGAACTTTGTTATTAAATTAGTTGAATTTTGGAATGTTTAAATGGTTAATATTAAGTTGTTTTGATGGGTATATTTGAATAAATTTGAGATTAGTAACCTTGCTTGTTACTAAAGTAGATGAATTTTGGAATGGGTGAATGATTACTTTTAAGTTGTTTTGATGGGTAATTTTGAAAAAATTAGAGATTAGTAACCTTGTTAGCTTAGCAATTTTGAATAAATTAGATGAATTAAAGTAGTGAATACATTGTTTAGCAATTGTTAGTTCGATGAATGATGTGTTTTAGCTTATAAATAAATTAGTGAATTGACATGTTATGAGAAAGAAATAGTACATACCTTATATTTAACCTAATTTTTGTTTATTGTTTTTTTTAATGGATTTGTGAATTGAAGCACGAGTTTAGCTTGAGGACTACATATTGAGCTCAAGTGGGTAGTTGCTATATATATTGGTATGACTTATAAACTTTACTTAGCTATATTTCTTTCTATTTATCCATTTAATAAAAGTTTATTCATGAATTTGCAACTTATGTATTGTTTAATTGCAAATAAATACAACAATATATAGAATACTTGCATCATCATATGCCTAGATACCCGTTCAAGGCTTTCTCATTAGGAGAAAGTCTTGAATAGTCCCCGGTAGGGACTGTTCTTGAATGTGTACTCTCACTTAGGTGGTGAATGTATGTTTTCTTTTAAATTTTAAGGAACATCTTGGCTTACCATTTCCTCACTATGTATGTGGTTAATTAATTATCTACATCGTGTACTTGGAGAATTAGGGGGAAATGCTGCCGGATTTTCCTTAAAATTGGAAAGTTGAAATACATTCACTAGTGAGAGTAGACATTCAAGGATGGGTTAGGTTGGAGTGATAAAGACCCTTTGGAAACATGATTTTTTTTCACTATATGAATGGTATATTCACGTTTTTTACTTGAATTTGATTTACATAAAATATGTAGCAATTACACATTATTCATTATATGTTGCTATATATGTTTAGAGACAATTTACTAAATGGAGAAGGATCGTGGTTGGATGTATGGTAGATGCGATACATTGGAATTTTGGAATGGGGTTCAAGAGTTTTGCGAGAGGGCTTTAGCTTATCAACGCAAACTGGGTGGCAAAGGCCTTTATTGTTCTTGTGTTGATTGTAATAATGTGAATGTGGTCAATAATGTTGAAATCATTTGAGATCATGTATTATGTCGTGGGTTTAGGCATTTATACCAATATGTGTGGATTTGGCACGGAGAAAGTGGAGAGTACAGTGGGGATCTTGATCGGAATGATGTGCGTGTTAGAAGCAATGAGATTCATGTGGACGAGGAATACGAAAATGATGACTATATTGTTGATAATGGTGAGGATGGAGCCTATGATGATCATGAGGTCGAGGATGAACAAGTGGATGAGATGTTGCATGGTGTTGAAGGTGGAGTGTTTGAGTTATTATCGGAGGCTTTCAAAAAGCTTTTGTATCTCGGGTGCAAAAAATACTCCAAACTATCGGCCGTGCTAACACTTTTCAACATTAAGTCGAAGCATGGGTGGACGGACATCAATTTTACTTCTTTGTTGACCGCATTAAGTGATATGTTGCCTGATGGGAATGAAATTCCTAAGTCTTACTATTACGCAAAGAAGCTCATGTGTCCTTTTGGTTTGGAGTATAAGAAGATACTGCCGGGTCCAACATGGAAGTCACCGTTGGTAATTTACATGATATTGTGATTATCTTCAAAATTTATGTTAGTAAATATTTGCTAATTTCCTTTGCATGTTTCACTGATGTGATTTGTTTGTCATATGCTAGTGCGCACAACAAGAGAATGGACTTGATTGTGCTTTGTATGTGATGAGATTCATGCTTGACATTGTGACTAATTGTACGGACACTCAACAACTTGATGAAGTAAGTCCTAAAACTTAATGAAATGCTATATTAATGTGATTTTTAGCCTTAGACACCTAATATTACCCAACACTGACATGTTATGAGAATTAAAAAGGTGATTTGACAAGAAAGGTAGAAAATGGGCTGAATAGAAGTCATATGGGCCATATTAGGGCCATTTTGTGTTAATATGCTCTTTTGATGTGATTTATTTCCTTGTACACCTATAACTAGATAATATTGACATGTTACGAGATAAATAAAGTTCTTTTAATAAGAAATGTAGGAAATGGGCAAAGTAAAGTCATATAGGACATATTCGGGCCATTTTGAGTAAAAAGCGTCAAAAACCTTATTAAAATGCTCTTTTGATTCAATTTTAGGGCTAAGACACATACAACTACCCAACATTGACATGTTATGAGAAAGAAATAGTTCATTTGATAAGTAATGTAGGAAATGGGCTACATAAAAGTCATATAGGCCCTATTTGGGCCATGTTGAGTAAAATGCGTTGTTAAACCTATTGAAATAATATATTGATGTGATTTCTAGCCTTAGACACCTAATATTACCCAAAAATGACATGTTATGAGAAACAAAAAGGTGATTTGACAAGAAAGGTAGAAAATGGGCTGAATATAAGTCATATGGGCCATATTAGGGCCATTTTGTGTTAATATGCTCTTTTGATGTGATTTCTTTCCTTATACACCTATAACTAGATAATATTGACATGTTATGAGATAAATAAAGTTCATTTAATAAGAAATGTAGGAAATGGGCAAAGTAAAGTCATATAGGCCATATTTGGGCCATTTTGAGTAAAAAGTGTCATAAACCTTAATAAAATGCTCTCCTATACAATTTTAGGGCTTACACACATACAACTACCCAACATTGACATGTTATGAGAAAGAAATAATTCATTTGATAAGTAATGTAGGAAATGGCCTACATAGAAGTCATATAGGTAATATTTGATAAAATACATATTGTTTTGCCTAATTAATTAATTTTAACATAATATTTTTGTACTTCAAGTTTTGCAAGGTCCAAAAGGATGGTCCGTTGACAATCAAGGAGCTTAATGAAGTTCGTGACATGTTGGCGTCTTTTATCACCTTCAACATGTAATATAAATGGCATTGTAATTGTAAATTATTTATGTTAACTTTTGAACTATATATATTATTATTCATTATATATTTACATACTATTATTTTTATATATATGTAAGAAACTTTTTTTTTAATGTATTGCGTTTGGGAATATTTATATCTATATATAATTAAATTCTTGTTTTTAATATTATTTTTGTATCTTATTATAATAATTAATAATATTATTATTAGTAATTATAATAATAATATTATTAACTATTTTATTTAATATAATTGTTGGAATTACAGGTTATTATTATTGCTGGAAACAAGTTTTTTTTTTAAATATTATTGCACGAAATTCGAAAAAAAAAATTATTGGGTAAATAGGCATCGGTTAACCGGTGCCTAAGTTAGCTACCACCCAAAAAAAAAGGCGAGAGAGCAGTTAAAGGCACCGGTTAACCGGTGCATAATTGGGTATATGGCACCGGTTTTGAACCAGTGCTAAAAAGGGGGGTATTTGGCACCCCCCACATAGGCAACGGTTCAAACTGGTGCCAAAGCAGTTTTTTCACCTAGTGTTTTATTTTAGTGTCTCAATTATTTGGTCAAAGTGGTGTATGTGAATATTATCATTAAACTTTTTATAAATTATAGAAAGTAAATATTTAAAAATTATGTTTTGAGACGTTTCTAACAAATGTACCGATCACTGGAGTTGTTAAATAAAAACAAAAGGTGTATCATTTTTTTTAAGTAATTAGATAGTTTGATTCATTTCACTAGATATGATACAAATCATTCTTAAAAATTCTATTAAAAAATAATTCTAAAAATTTGATATTTGAAAGATTTGTACACTCTCCATTTTTCTAAACTACATTAACCGTACCATTAATTATTTAATTGTATATTAGTAAAAATTATACAAAGTTGATTTATTGATTCATAACAATACAAATCTAATAAAATTTAGTTTTATAATGTTTTAACTTATATATATATATACAATTAAACATGATCAAAATTTTAAAACTTTGACTTGTGAATAATAAAATAGGTAAAACTTAAATAAGAAAAACAAGGTAATAATAAGAATTTCCTATAAAATCTCACAATTCTATTGTCATCAAAGTTATTATATTTTGAACACATAAATAGTAAGTGAGTCGAACTTTTAAAAACAAAAATAGTTATTAAATTGAACAATCTATCTCATGTAAAATCCAACAGCTAATTACTTGTGAATTATAAGCTAAATAACAATTGTTACAATACCGTTTGATCAATGCCATGACCAATACTTTGTAACAAACATAATAATACAGCCCAACATTCACCAGCAAGATCTGTCCATTAACACAATTCTTTATGAACTATTACATATTTGAGTGAGGTCCTAGTATACTATTATTTGTATTACAATTATTATGCTCTCTATGTCCTAAAATAATTGACACAATTAAACTTTGCATTTCGATGCACTAGTTTGACATTATTTTATATAATTAAATATTAATGAACATTTTAAAAAGTTAGAGTATATTACTAAACTTTATAATATTATCTATTTAACAACATATTTTATGATCAAATATATTTTTATTATGTTTGTGAAAAAAAGCCTAACGTGTCAATTATTCTAGGATGGAGGGAGTATTCATATTCCTTGGTATGTGCATGTGCAATAAATGGAAAATGTTTGTGGAGCAAAGGATGTATTATTTACAAAACCTATTATATAACTCTAATATTATTTCATTTTTTTTTTCAACAAAGAGGTATTTTATGTGAGACATAAAAAATTTGTTTGTTATAAATAAAAAGAAACGATGCTGGTAATATTACAAGTTTACAACGAACTTGTACCATTAACAACCAATAAAAAAAAGGTTTTCAAGAGATAATATAAGCATATGGCCTTACATTTGACGTTTGCGTAAGCTTGTAAATCTATTCCTCGATCATGTGCAAAAGTCCAGCAAGTCTTTAAAGCGGAAAATAAATCTTTATTTGATAATTAAAGCTGTGAAATAGCAAATCATTTCAATTATACATTGAGATCATAAAAATCAACCATTTATTTATTTATTTTGCTTGTTTAAAAGAAAAAGGTAGTTGGTGCTTTAATTTTGCATTTATAATGGATTTTATCACATATAATCTCCATCCCGGTATCATCTTGCTTCTCTTTGTTATGAATTTGTATTACAAAGATTGAATTGATCACTAACAATGTGTATAATGCTAATGATTATGTTAATTTTTTGCAAAATTCATCACATACTACACAACTTATACTATTATAATCTCATTTCCTAAGTTGTACATGCATGCGCGTAAGCTACTATGCTAATGATTATGTTATTTATGTGCACTTGTGGATGATTGCGTATATCGGTATATGCCTTTTGCTTGTTAGTAATACACTCGCATAGTGGCACACATGTACATATACTCACTTACACAATAATCTTAAAGTTTATTATTTTTATACTCCATATTCCGTCCCTAAACGAATGACCATTATTGTCTAAATCTAGTCCCAAAATGATCATCCCATTTGCATTAAAATACTCTTCAAATTGAACTATATTTGTGCAAAGTAAGCTTTCCATGTAAATTTTGTTTTTCTATGTACTTTTATTACTTTCTCTCTCTATTTTTTTTTGCAAACCCTATGTGATTTACGCTTTTCAATATAATGTCTTTTTCTACTATCTTTTTCACTTTCTTAATACCCATGAATTTTGCCCACAAGGGTCATTCTTTTAGAGATGGAGGGAGTATAAGAGTTTTTGTCAGAAATTACCTAATAAAATTAAACCCGCATTTAGTAAGCACTAATAAACTATTTATTAAAACATATGTTGGAAAATATTACCTCTAGATGGATTTCCATTGTTGACAAAATTTTCCAGCGTTGAATTACCCCAAAACAGCCCCAGAACCATCGCTTTCATCCCCAAAACCAACACAACCCACTTGAAACTTCCTCAGCTCCACCATGCCGGAATCACCCTCCAACGACCACCTCTTATCCCATAGCTCGAAATATACACCTACCACCTCGGAATATCCCCCAATCACCTCGAAAATAACCTTATTATCTTGAAATTAAAAGCAACTCTCGTGATGGTTTGAAGGTACTTTGAGGTGAGTCAACACAGGAAATTAGGTCAATGGTGAAAATCCTCTTGAAAGTAGTATTTCACATTATTTTACCTTTTATTAGATAGTTGTTTACAACATTATTTTTTTATTAAGTAACTTCTTACCAAATCTCGCATCTGAAAGGGCGTGTCTGAAAAAACAATCTTTTAATACTAGTTTAGTTCCCGTGTCATGCACGATAATTTTCAATAATTACTACTCCGATCCCTCCGTTTTAAAATATTTGCTCCATTTCTCCATGCGCGGAGTTTTAAGAGAAATTGGAGAAAGTAATAAAATATGGAAGTGGGGTAGTAGTGAAAATAAAAAAAGAATGTAAAAAGCAAAATTAGTGGAAGAATAGGAGGAGAGAGAATATTATGTTGGGTCCACTAAGTGTGAAAATTGAATTTAATATTGTAAAAGCTTTCTAAAAAAAGAAATGGAGCAAGTATTTAAAAACTGTCGAAAAAGAAAAATGGAGCAAGTATTTAAAAACGGAGGGAGATTAAACTATCATTAATTATAATTAGTTTTTTATAAAGAAAAAAAATCTAAAAATATAGTTGACAAATTTTGATCAATATAAAGGGTTACGAATGATATATTAAATATAAAATGATGTAGATTATAATCAAAAGTATATTAATAATATTTTTTTTTATAATAAATACATAAATATTTGAGTTAAAGGTATGTTAAATCTTTTTTATTTTAAGTTACTATATTGTATAAGATTTTGAAGTTATTTTTGTATAAGATTTTTTTAAAATACAATTTTATACCAAAAAAAAAAAACTAAGGACACACCAGCAGATGACACGTGTCATTGCTGGTGTGTCTTTTAGTATATATATATATTATATTATTATTGATTGATTATTGATGCTACATATACATATATATACTTAATCCCACATCATATTATTACACTTTATTGTAATTTAGTATAGAGAAAATCAAGATGCTTATTTATATACTTATATAGTGTATACTTTCAAATGTAAATTAAGAATTCTACCCTGAGAAGGGCTTTCTAATGATTATTTTCCTTACATGTAAGTGTAATAATATTTTGTATTATACCTTACATTTAATTGTTGTCCGGGTCATTTTCTTCTCAACCTATATAATTATTATGAAGAATACAATAAACATATTTTTAAATAGAAAAATTAAATTCGTTGGTTTTAATTATCAATAAATGATTTGTAAGTAGTATCACGTTTCATAATTACAAAATTGAATGATACTCGATCTATAAATCTATAATAATGGTACTCAATGAAGAAAAACTAAAGAATCCACAAAAAAGAAATAATAATAATAATAATAATAAATAAATAAATAAATAAATAAATTTATCATCGAATCATTAAATTAGTGGGCTAGTTTAATTCATAGAATTTTATTTTAGTCACTGTAAAGTATAAACCACTTAGTCAAAGAAATATGTTTACTCAACCAACAAAAAAGGAGTGGTTTTAACACAACATAATACTATAACACAATTGCAAACAATAATATGTACAATATATACTAATTAATGTTTTAACGTCTATACGCATTATTGTACGTGATCTAGTAATAAGGTCTATGTACAATAGGTTACAAGTTAGATCTAGTCCTCTTCCCCGTTAGTAATTCATAATGTGTAACGTTCTTGTAGCTCATTCGCACCAAACAAAATATTATTGCGCATGTAGTATAAATGACTAATTGATAATAATAATTACATGTACATGGGTAGGTTGAAGACAAAAGGGGCAAGAAGAAGTGGAAAAGAGTAGAAGTGAATATCAAAGATCATGTTGTGATTCCAGCATATCCTGAAGGTTTATCAACAGAAGATTATAGTAAGCATTTTGAAGATTACACATCAAAAATATCTACATCACAAATTCCACAAGATAAACCCTTGTGGCAACTTCACATTTTCAATTACCCTACAAAGAATGCTGCTGCAACTTTCATGTATAAGTTTCACCATGCCATTGCTGATGGCACCTCGCTCATGGGAGTCGTCTACTCTTGCTATAAACGAGTAGACGATCCTTCGAAACCTCTCACATTCCCATCTAGAACTACTCCAAGGGAGAAACAAAGTCATTCTATCAAGAAAGTTTTCAGCATTGTGCCTAATTTTATGGCTTCTTTCTTTTACACCTTCCTACATTTTGGACAAAGTATTAGGTTATCTTTCTCAGCAGATGATCGGACTCCAATTAGGTCGGGTAATATGAATCCGGATTGTAGAATTTGCACCGTCAATTTATCTCTTACTGATATCAAAAGAATCAAGACTTTTCTTGGAGTGGTAGGACACAACTTGTTATAACATTATATACCATGTTTAAGTCGTCTAGGGATGATTCTATGATAGTCATCGTCTTTAAAATGACTAATATTATACTTATAATTTATTGGCTCATTTTAATTTATTTTTTAAAGTCAAAATTAATTATAAGTCATTTATTTGATTTAAAAAAAATCATTTATTAATTTTGAAATAATTTTATTTATTTTTATAATTTTCCTAATTAATTAATTTTATAATTTATTTTTAATGTCAAAACTAATTATAAATCATTTAATTAATTTTTAAAATTCATTTATTGGTTTTGAAATAACTTTTATTTTATTTATAATTTTTTTATCTAATTAATTTACAAAATTCATTTTTATTATTATAAAATTAACAAATAATTCATAAATAGTTTATAAAAATAGAAAAAAAATTAAATAATAAATTCAAATAAAAAAGAAAAACCTATAAAATTAGTTTTAATATAAAAAATAAATAAAAAATCAACCAATAAGAAATTAGTATAGTAATAGTCATTTTAAAGATGATTACCACATAATCTATACGTCTCTAGACTCTAGCTCATCTTTGTTAATTTTTGTCGGTTTTTTGGTGAATAGACAGTAAATGATGTTGTCGTTGGGATACTTTTTCTTGGATTTCGTTTATATATGCAAGAAATCAACAATGGACAACTAAAGAACACACGATCCACGGCTGTGATAACTCTTAACATGAGGAGTGACAAAGGATATGCACACGCAGAAGAAATGCGCAAAAATAATGCCAAGGTACCATGGGGAAATAGATTTTCAGGTATCGAATTACCAATCACAAATTTAGAGGAGAATGATATTAAAAATCCTCTAAAGTTTATCTTGAAAGCTCACAAAATTATTAAGAAAAAGAGGAATACTATTTTTGCTCAAATTCTCTTATTATACTGCCTTGGAGCTGTGAGGACATGTATAGGCCTTCAGGTACGTTACATTTTGCTTGATGTTAATTATTTTTCAAACGGGAATTATATTTAAGGAAGGAGGGAGTTTTACGTAATTATTACGAGTACTTTCTAAAATAGATTAGTCACTTGTATTTTACAACTAGTTTAGATCAATGCAATGCACAGTAATTGCTAAATTATACTACTCCGTTTCTGAAAGTTTGACTCACTTACTGTTCATGTAGTCAGAATAAAATAAGTTTTACCACAGTTTATGACTTATTATACAATAAAAATAAATTATAATGTGGGATCTTATTAGATTCATCTAATTATAAATTTTTCAAATATATATCAACTTTTTGTAATTTTTTCTCACAAATAGCTCAAAATATATACGGTCAAATATTTACAGTGAAGACCACGCAAATGAAAAGTGAAATTTTATAGCCATATAGTTTGGTGATTAATTAGCAAAAAAAGTGAAATTTTCTTATGAAAGTAAATAAACTTTGTAATACAACATAATTTTGTTTTTGGTGATATAGTGTTTTTGAAACAAGTATATCTAAATGTTTAGGTTTATCATGATCTATTACCACAATTAACTAAAATATTATTATGTTTGCAAATTGCAGGTAGCTACAAAAACTTTTGAGAAAAGGTCGTTGAATAGTAGCTTTCTGATGACCAATATGATTGGGCCAATTGAGAAAATGAGTTTTGCTAATCATCCTGTCGACAACTTTTATTTCATGCCTACTCGCGTTAAATCGGTTAGCATTGTGCCTCATATCTTTTCTCTTGTTCTGATTTTGTTTAAAACGAATGGCTTCTAAGTTCTAACCTTGATTGTATAGCCAACTACATACAAGTATATATTTTAAGTGACGTAACCAATTCATACATACTAAATTAATTTGTATGTCATATTCTCAATTCTCATCACATCAACATCGTTCGGTTGCATGTCACAAAATATTAATACACATGTCTTTTGGTTTACGCTTTATATAAAGTTATGAATAATGTAACGGAATCAAAGTTGAAGAGATTGGGTAAATTATACAGATTTAAAATAATTTAAGATAAATTAAAATAAAATTCAAAAAAAAAAAAAAACAGTAATGAATGGAACACACAATTTTAACGTAGAAAAATTCTCTAAAAATTCTATGGACGTGTAGTAGTTGAAAGTTTGAAACAATCCAGACGAAGTTTGTAAGCTAAAGAACCTCATAGGATCATATCGGGGTACCACTATCAACATTGTTAAATTGTGACTCGAAATCTAGTAGGGTTGACTTTGAACGCAGATATCTCTCAAACTACAAGCAATGTTGAGGTGATTCAAGTTGGAGGTGATAGCTTGGTTCAAGTGCTTTCCAAGATAGGTCATTTTCCCAATTCCGATAAGAAACAAAAAAGTTATGACCGCTTTACGAAAACCTGATGAAGCTGGAAATTTGCAACGAGGCTGGAGCTATAGCTCTATGCGAGTGAGCTATAGCTCGGCCCTATGAGGACTTGCGGCAGGCATGAGCTAGCTGCCGAGCTATAGCTCGGTAGTTAGGTTATTCTAGGATAATTGATGGGATATTTCCTAAAATTATATCTTTTCTATGACGGCTATTTGAGTATACTTGGAGAACAATCTTAGGGTTTTATTAGGGTTTCCTTGTGTTACAAAAGGACCCTTTAGTCGATCAATTAGATCATATCTTTTGAGCCATTAGATTTAAGACTCCTTGTATCATTCTCTCGTTCTTTCTCCATTATAGTGAAGAAGCTCTCGAATCCCCCACCTGTGGTTGTAGGTCTATTTTGACCGAACCACGTAAATCCTTGTGTTGTTTATCTTCTTTATTGCTTTTCTCAATTCTTATTTTTCATTGATTTGTTCCACATTGATCAAACACAATTACACCCTTATTTCCTAACGAATATGTTGCCCAACAAAATTCATAGATAATGTATGAAGGTGAATAAAGTGCCAAGTACGTAGAAAAATATACATCGACACATATCAGTCTCATGAGGCATATAATTTAATAATATTGCAATATATAATAAGATGAGAACCGTTGTTATAAATATATAAAGTATTATATGAGTTGGACTTACAATAAGTTAACCTAAACGCAAATTAAATTTTGGCCACTTAACCCAACAACCATCTCTCATTGTATCATAGTATATACTTTGTTGTCTTTTTATTAAATAATTGTTATTATTATGTAGATAAATACATGATAATGATTTGCACTTTGGTGTCTTTTTATTGCAGAGTTTGACGGTTACTGCGATGAGTTACATGGAAACGTTGACAATTGGCTTAGCTGTTGAGAAAGGCTTCATCGATCACCACAAATTAATCACTTGCGTGGAGAATGCCTTTCAATTGATTTTCGATGCTGCCACAACTACTTCATAATCTTTTGCAAAATTATTAATAAGAGTATTATTTAATAAAAATATAGAATGATACCCAAAGTCCCAAAACATAATCTCGAATATATTATGTATACTATATATATGTCGTCCCTCGATTATTCAACAATTTAAGAAATAAAATGATGTTTTATTCTTGTTTTCTGTTTTTAGTTCATGGAACGACTTTGACTTTTTTTTTTTTCCTTTCTTTTTAAATTAGATTTGATTAGTTGAAGTCCAAAAAATGCTAATTTAATTTCAAGACATGTCAACCTATGTATGTTGAGCATGACAAAGTTCTTTTATGTTATTAAATATCTAAATAGTAAGACGTACGGTCCTAGAAATGTCAGTTACCTGGAAAAGAGAAGTGTCCCATAAGGTGAGTTACTCGCAAGTCACCATTTACAATGGTGAACTACCTCAAAATATGAGAGAGAGTAGTGTGTGAAAGTTAGTAAGTTACCTATTGTGGGTGCTCTTAGAAGCATTTGAAATTGCTCTACTTATTATCATAAAATTTATTCGTAAAAGTAGAATTCAATTTGCTTCAAGCTTTAATTGAAATGAATATAATCGATGGCGATAGGCAGAATGAGAGAGGAGGGAAGAATACAAGAGAAATGATGATGAACAAAAATTGAAAGGGCATTAGTTTTTTTTTTTTTAAAAAATAAAATTATAAATATAATTTAATATATACATAACAGATTAGCAGTACATGACATTTATAGTACATAACGGTGCATGTCATGCATTATAAGTATAAACTCATCTATAACTAATACTAAAATAATTACCGCTAACATCATAACTATCCACGTGATAACTTTTTATATTAGCTCTAAAAATGATGCGTTATGTGGGGTTTTTGGTGACTGTGATGAGGATTCACAACACCTGTTTCGTTTATGTTCTTTGGCTAGGTATGCTTGGCTTAATTGCTCGCTGCATATCAGCTCTGAAAAATGATGGGTCTACTCCTTTGCGACAATGGATCCAGAGATATATCCTGCTTTTTTATAGCGAGGATGGAATTGTTGGTGACCGTATACACACCTTTATAATAAGTGTCTTATGGGGTCTATGGATGGCTAGAATTGGGAGAGTTTTCAGAAATGAAAATGACCATATGCAGCATTTATGACACATCTTGAGAAGGGCAACAAGGATTTAACTGTTTTCTTGAAATCGGATGTTCGAAGGCTGGGGATGATACAGGAAATGGGACCCACGGTGGGACCACTACCGGGTTTCCAGAGAGCAAGTATGGGTTTCAGAACTAGTAGTTCAAACAGTTATTTGATAGCGGTCGGGAGGTTACAATCATGTGTGATGGTTCGTGGCACAAAGAGTCGGGGAATGGAGGCTTTGGGTGGGCCTTTGCGCTTCCTGGTAGGGATTATGAGGATGGAGGTGGAGGTTTTTGTAAGGCAATTTCGGCACTATATACCGAGCTAATGGCCTGTCTTGGAGGGATTTGATGGGCGATCGATAAAGGTTTTACGAAAATTTGGGTCTATACGGACACAAGTGAGGTGGTTGGCTTGCTTCAGAATCCACATAGAGGTGACATGCGATATTACTAGACTATTCAAGATCTACGACAACAGGGGGAGCATTTACAGAGCTGTGTGGTTTGGAAGGTTAACAGGGATCAAGTCCGAAAGGCACATGTTTTGGCAAATGAGTGCAGGACCAGTTTAAGTAGCTTTAGTGTTGGTTAAAGTCTTTTCGTTCTTCGTTTAGTTTGCTATTGTCAAAAAAAAAAAAAAAATTGTAAAAAATTTTGTAAAAAATTTTCCCTCCAAAACTATTGTTAAAATCATTCTTTTTTTTTGTGTGTGTGTTTTTTTTTTTATTTTTTTTATTTTTGGATGTTAAAGCTAAAATTTTATTAGGGTGATCCTACTATATGCAACTCTAAAGGCTACATATAAGCATTAAATACACTATTAAAAATGATATGAAATTAAAAATTCATGACAAAAACACGCGCAAATTAGTGTAATTAGTGTTTATATTTTTTTGATTTTCTAAATTTATACAATTTTTTAGTGTATATATAATGCTTATATGTAGCCCTATGGGCTATATATAGCATTTTCCATTTTATTATAGCTATGATGTTAATTAGAATATTATGTCCTTCATTTTAGCTTAAAAAAATTTAACGAGAGGGCCGTGATTACAATTATATATTTATCTTAAAAAATTTATGTTGCACCCTTATAAGTGAATTTATTATTATTAAAATTCGTGCATTACACAGGATTAACCTAGTTGCTTATAAGATGTGCCACCACCTAGTCGAATTGTCAATAATCAACCTTAGTTGTTAACTTGTAACCTTATCCTAACTCGACGTCTCGACCCATTTTGAAATGTCGGTACATTGAACTTAGACATTTATTGTGTGGCTCGAGTTGAAAGAAAACATTAAATTCTCAACTTATAATTTTGTATATAGTGTACTTATATTTCAATGATGAACTGTTAATATGCATGGGATTAAAGAGCATTCCTAATAGCAACTAGCAATTAGTTTGGTAGGTGCTATAACAAGTACGTGCGATCAATAATTAATTGAAAATTTGGTCCAATATGATCCTTCTTTTCATCTTAGGAATGTTTACATCAATAAACTTTTACACCACA